CCCGTTTCCTTCCGCAGAGGGCCCACATTCTCCCTGACTTTCTTCTTATCCCCTATGTATCTATAGAAGCCTTTCTTGTTGGCCTTGATGTCCCTGGCCAGGTTCAATTCTGTCAGGGCTTTGGCTTTCCTGACTTGATCTCTAACCTCTCGGGCAACTTCCCTGTACTCCTCCCAGGCCACCTGTCCCTGCTTCCACCCACTGTAGGCTGCTTTTTTCTGCCTCACTTTGTCCAGGAGCTGCTTGTTCATCCACGTAGGCCTGCGGCCGCTTTTACCCAACTTTCTCTTCGTTGGGATGCATCGCTCCTGAGCTTGGAGGAGAAGGTCCTTGAACACCTGCCAGCTTTCTTGGGCCCCTCGTCCCTCCAGGGCTTCTTCCCAAGGAACCTTTCCAATCAGTTCCCTGTAGAGGCTAAAGTCTGCTCTCCTGAGGTCCAGGGTAGCGAGCTTACTATGCACCCTCCTCGCCTCCGTAAGGATTCCAAACTCCACCATTTCATGGTCACTGATAAGTTACTGTATTAAGATAAACCAATCTATGAACTTGTTAAATTGCGCAGAAATATATTCATATGGGATGCTTCCACTGGTACAACTATAAAAGGTAATCACATATTCCATTGCTTTTATCATACCTTGCACTTTTTTTTTTTTTGATAGACAAGTAACAGTAATGGCAAGAGACACTTTTCACATTTCACAAAATCTTTTTTTTGTTGTTTCAAGCAGTTTGCTCTAGTGTTAAGTTATTCATACCAATGGAATGAGACAAAGTCTTGCAGTTTTACCCTTCTCTCATGTACAGAATGGAAGTACAAGTACACTCTTGATGTATGACTGCAACTTGAACAATGGCATTCATTATAAAAAAAAAAACCTTTTAAATATTTTGTAATGGCTACTATAACCTGCTGCATAGGTTCACGCCTCTTCCACCTAATATACCAAACTTTTATTCAGCTATTTAGGACTTATAAAGTGATTGGATTGTTGCATCTAATGTGAAGATAATCTGGGCATGAAGATTTGTACATGTCTAAAACCAAAGAGCTTGCTTTTTCCTTTAAAGCTGCGTACATGACAACACAAAGATGAAGCTATACTTACAATGTTAGATAAGAACAGATTCCTCTAGCTCGTTCTTTTAGATTTCCTAGATCCAGCCCATCAATGTTCCAGGTTATCAGTGAGAAGCTGCTGTCATCTTCTTGCTTTGAATCTGCACTACTGACACTGGCATTACTAGTAGTTGCATCTGCTGTGAGGTCAATACTAAAGAGAGAGTTCACTTGTTTGTCAACATGCATAACGCTATTCTTCCTGCAATTACCTCCCTTATGTTCTGAAGGGCAACCTTTCATACCCATCTGTCGTGGCCTAACCTTGGCTAGCAACAAAATACCACTCAGCTGCTCGCACACCTCCCCTCCTCCCCCAGTGAAGGAGGAAAACCTGGGGGGAAAGACAAGGGAGGTTGTGAATTGACATGAGAACTATTTAATAATTGAATATAATTTTTATATAAGGTTTACATTATAAGATAATATAAGGTTTAGATTAGACATAAGGAAGAAGTTCTTCCCGGAGAGGGTGGTGAGGCACGGGAACAGGTTGCCCAGAGAAGCTGTGGATGCCCCATCCCTGGAAGTGTTCAAGGCCAGGCTGGATGAGGCTTTGAGCAACCTGGTCTAGTGGAAGGTGTCCCTGCCCATGGCAAGGGGGTTGGAACTAGATGGTCTTTAAGGTCCCTTCCAACCCAAACCATTCTATGATTCTATGATTCTATAAATCAGTATTATTGTGATACTAATAATATTAATAATACTACTCATACCAGGCACTGTGAAGAAAATTAACTCTTTCCTTACTGAAACCAGCACAGCATCACAACTTCCAGGTGACCATCTAAAACTTTCACAACAATAAGTTAACATATATTGATCTCAACATAATTTAGAAGCGCAGTAACTCAGTCATACAGGGCCTTGGCACAAAGGTGAAATAAGTAGGTTTTCCTCCTCCTTACAGGCATAAGCGAACATTCTGATAGTAATTTTCATAGAACCATAGAGTCACAGAATGGTTTGGGCTGGAAGGGACCTTAAAGACCATCTAGTTCCAACCCCCCTGCCATGGGCAG